CAAGTTCTTGGTGAAAAATTAATGCAACACTGGATGGAAACAGATCTTGTGACATTGCAGAAGCTTATTGAATTAATGCCACAGTGAATGCATGCTGTAATCAAAACTAAAGGCGGTTCAACGAAATATTAGTGTGTGACCTTTATTTTTTGGTGGTGACTTGTTTTTTTTTTTTCACCAGGCAGTGTAGTTTGAATTTTAAGTTAGAAGACAAAAGTCGAGCAGTGCATCTGGACATCAAAGGGTTAACCCTTCACAAAGCTGCTGCAGCATGGAGCAGAAGTGCAAGAAGGAGCTTCCCCCTGCACTTCTGGGCTGCACACAAGTGCTAAATCGTTTAAATAATTTATTTCAAATAAACAATCCGTGGCTCATAATCAATCAGCCCATTGTGTGTCGTGTCCCATGTTACTTTGAAAAACCGCGATAGAGCGAGATCGCGAAAAAATGAACCGCAAAGTAGCGAGGGACTACTGTACTTCCATTTTGTCCATTGCAATTCAGCAAATCTGTCATTTGGCTCATTTTTGTCTTTTAAACATACACTCAGAAAAAACATGTCCACATTTAGACAAACAGAAAATGGAGATGTATCCAACATTACTAGTAACACAAACAAAGACCAAGGTCAGTGGTCTCTGAGTAAAAACCACCATTCACAACTTATTTGACAACAAACAGAATCAGCAAAGGGACACGGGGACGCACGGGAGGTTACGTCCTCCAGCTTTGTTTATTTGTGGGACTTTGGCTGCAGGCCAACTTAACGCCTATTTTGTTGAAAATACGACAAACGTCATATTTCTATGATGCACACGTCAAAGTCTACAATTATTTTAACAACTGGCTGTTTTCTTCTTTATTGTTTTTTAACAAGACTAGAAAGATGATCAACTTATTTAGGATTAAGTACAATTATGTCACAGCAAACCAAACAGTACTGAGAGTGGCGGGTGTTCAACAATCATTTAATGTACATACTCTGATGCATCTTTACCTGTAAAGCTGTGTGCGGGGGTGTCTTGTGGGGGTGTGCATGTGTGCATGAATGAGGCTGTCATTAATTTACCACGGATCCATAAATGGTGTCAAATACATTGGCAGTAACATTAAGAAAACCCTATACAATCATGGTAAAAGTAAGCGTATCCTCTTTCAGTTTTAGAGTTTTAAGTATTATGAGATAATTAAAAAATTATCCGGTTCTTACAGATCATAAAATAAGTCAGTCAGTCAGTCAGTCAGTCAGTCAGTCAGTCAGTCAGTCAGT